AACAGTGATGGCGAAGAGGACATTTCAATTCCAAAATACCGCCGTGAGACTAACTACGATTACAATGTCTCGTAAAAACAAACGATGCAGACGAATGCTTGATCGAACAGTTTCACAAAACAACAGTGATGGCGAAGAGGATATTTCAATTCCACAATACCGCCGTGTTTATCAAAGAATGACTGCGAAATCTCCAAGTGCTCAAAGTAAAATAGTAATCCAACAAAACATCCAAGTGCGTCCGCCTAATATCTCTACAGGTCTATAAATTATATGTGACTCCTAAACGTCGCAAGATAACAATGAACTAGGTAGAACCGCACTTTTTCATTAGCCCTAGTACCAGATCCTGTTTCCAAGTATTATAAATTGCTAAAATATCTACTGCTCCTGCTTCAGAACTCCTGTCTCCTTGTGAGCTAATTCGTAAAGAGTTGAACATCTCATCGACAGTGACTAGATGTAGTTCTTTAAGTGATCTATCATGTGCCAATCAAGTAACTACAGACGTTTCATTAGCTCTCGAAAGTGCTTGCGATGAAACAATTAATGAAAATTTCAATACAATAGATAACGCAAGTTATATGGAACAACAGAAATATTTCAATATTACAACTTACTCCGAAAATGGTAATTTAGTTAACGTTAAAAAAGACGCCAGAAAACATTTGAAACTTCTGTTTCTAAATTACCTGTTATTAGTAATCCCAATAATGATAACTATGATGGAGATAAAGGTTACAGCATCGATAGCGATGATTTGACTAGTACTTTGTCTGAATCCAGCGATTCTTCAGATGACGTCAATGAAAATGACAATAGTTCAAACAGTACTACAAGAGTTGGAGAAAATGAAAATGAGTGGCAAGATATAACAGACACAGTCATGAAGATATAACAGACACAGACACATAATATTAAGGCAAGTCTACAATAAATGTACCATCAGTCGTGAAAACACCAACAGAATTTTATCAATTATTTGTTACAGAAGATATAATCAATAAAATGGTACAAGAAACAAATAACTATGCACTGAATTACTTTGACATTAATAAAAATTACATGAAGCCTAATTCTCGTGTTGAAGCTTTGACAGCTACAAATTTCGATGAAATGAAACGTTTTCCAGAAGTGCTTATGGCAATGGGTTTTGTAAAGTGCCACATATTAATGATTATCGGTCAAAAAAAAATTTATGGAAATACGGAACTTAATGTCTGAGATGATAATATAATTTAAAAATAATAATTTTATACAGCCGACTTCAATATAAGTTATTAAGAATAACTCAATAACTATTGGTCTGACCTTTGATCAAATTCATATGGGACCACATGAGAAGTATCAACTTTCAAATAAAAAAGAATCATCGAAATCGGTTCACCCAGTAAAAAGTTATAAGGTAACACACATAAAAAAATACAGTTGAATTGAGTACCGTCTCCTTTTTGGAAGTCAGCAGAAAAGAGATCGTTTATAACTTTATTGAAATTTTGACATTTTTGCAATCCTCAGAGTACTGGTAAGTTCAATAAAATTCAGGATGTTTATTTAATGTTATTAAATAGATTTCAAACCATTTTAAAACCATGAACATTTTTCATAATTGACGAGTGTAATTCCTTGTTTCCGAGTTTCCGCCAATAGATCAAACCAAAACTCACAAATACGGATTTAAATTATATAAACTCTACACGGTACACTTTTAATTTGCTGATTTACACAGGAAAAGGGGAAAATGGACGAGAGTTGGACCATGGGTAAAGCAGTAATGATACTTATCAAAGATTTTACACATGAAGAAAGACTTGTTGTCCCTGACAATTTTTGCAAATCAATAAATCTTGCGGAAAAACTTACACTAATAAGACTACATAAACTGCGAATAAGATGAGGATATGTGTACGCAGAACCAACCTACAAATAATTAAACCTAAACACCAATTAGTCTCTTATTCTTTATAAATTAATTAAACGTAAATATTCAATATTAGCATTGTATCAAAGAGTAATAGTAAAAAAAATCACAACACTTATTAGTAGACTCGATAAAAAATTCGAAGTTTATCAACCATGTATCAGAAGCAACACATTGCATATTCCTTTATAACGTTGTTATCTCCCCACTATGGTTAGACGTGTAAAATAAAAAGATAAAAATAATCTTTCACACTCATTAAGCTTGTCTTGTATTTTATGCACTTTTATATTTTTTATATACGAGTTGTAAGATTTTATCTATTATACTTTATGTTGCAACTGAAGTAATTTGAAAGGCTTTATTATCTCCTCACTATTGTGAGAGCTGTAAAACTACAAAGATAAAAATTATCTTTCACACTTATTAGCTTGTCTTGTATTTTATGCACTTATATTCTTTATATATGAGTTGTAACATTTTTGTTACATTTTATCTATAAATACTTTATGACAATTGAAGTAGCTTGAAAGGCTTGAACCTCGAAAAAATGATGTTACCTTATATTTTATAAAAATGTATACAAAATTTGTGCTTCGGATCACAGCCGAACAGGGAAGTGATAGACTGATACATTAGATATACTCTTATATCATAGAAATACGATATTCTGAAATAATTTCAGAAAAACAAACTTTTTACAAAACTTGTATTATTATGTTATCATATTATTATCAATCCCGAGGAGTTTATTCATATAAATTAACACAGATTGGTAAATAAAGTTACAAAGAACGTCAATACGCTTAACAGTCTTAAAATAAGGCATACTTTATGAAGTTATTAAATTAATTAAAGTTTTATTTTTATTCAATCCCTATAAATACCAATTGCCATTTTTTCTCCGAAACCCTCAAATAAATCTTAACAAACTTTAACACAAATCAATAAGTATATATGCTAAAACGTGTTAATAATGTGGGCAAGAATTGCAATATTTACAAATAAAGTTGGATTAATAATTTGATAAATAATAAGAAAAAAGAATTATCCATAACATAATTAAAATTTTGAATTCGGGAAATTGACTTTATATAGAAAACTACTAAAACCTACACTATATTTACAATGATATCATCTATAACTATAATAATTAAAGGAGTAAGTATAGTGCACAAACTTAACATTTAAATATTTTCATAACTTATAATCAGTTAAGTACATCAAGACTAACTTTGTGTAAACACTTATAGAAGAGTATTCGAGAACTGTTTTAAGCTTTTCTTTGTTTATAGAAAAGGTATTTTATTTCTGCAATTCTGTCAGTCTTAAGTTATTTTTGTTTTCAAGGCGTAATAACACTATTTATATAGATATAGTTTTTAATCCTTAACATTTGAGGACATATTTCATTAATATTTGTCTTTCTGTTGTATTTTGTGTTTACATGACGGACTTAATATTACATTTTTATCATTTAAAAAATTATGTGCATATCTAGAGCTAGCTCCAATATATAAAGGTACATGAGTGATTGCGACAGCCATTTTATTAATTACTTACAGTAATTTGGCAATACTTTTTTAGTTTCTGTCTTCAAGTGTATATATAAGCTTCAAAAATTTTTGAAAACTTTGTGACATAATGGTTTTGTGTTGTCGCATCTATTTTATCACATGTTTATTTAATCATTAATTATTTTGTAAGTGATTATTTATATAATAATCACTTGTGCTTCGGATATGGATTATTAGTATTTTTAAAAACAAATTTAAAGGAAAACAAACATTCTTTACTCAACTTACTACTGAAAAAGTAAGACATCAATGTTGCTATTTCGTTTAATGCTACCATACAAAAATATGCGCTTTTATTATTCAAGGAGATAATCCACTTAATATATGTATTTTACTTTTTAATTTTGCCTATTTAGTGCCTTGTTCAAAAATATTAAATATTCTGCTTGCCGAAATTATCGAAAAATGTTTCGCTCTAAAAATGTTAAAGGTACAATGAATAGTTTGTGTGTTAGCAATCTTATAAATGCCTCTAAAAGTATTAACACAACTTCTTTATTTAACTACATAATTTCTTAAAAAAAAAAATGAGTCTTTAACAAGGCAAGTATCTTTATAACCCAGCATTAGCAACTGGTGACGTTATCTTTGCTTCTATAATTTCTTTTCAGGAATGCTAACAACCACCACGTTATTTTCTTAACAAAATATCACTATTATCATAAATGAAAAACAAGTTTCCTATTTAGCGAACGTAATATTATTAGATCATAAGTGCAAGTTTCAGAAATTCAGTCAAAATGCGATATATACTCGTATATTCAATTGCTCAGACGCAACAATCTAACACTGAGCGGCAATTTCGTTAACTATCCATTTGTATTATATACACAAGGCAAGTCTCACGGCTCAGTATGAGCTTTTGTTTTCAAATTAAATTTTATTAGTTCAATCCATTGCTCAAAACACAGAATCGAACAACCATGTGTTACGTTCCCCATTTACTTTTATTATAATATTTTATTTATTATAATTTATTTACAATATAAAACAAAAGGCAAGTCTGAGCTTAGTTAACTGAAACATATTTTAAAATATTAATTTCATTTTATCAGTTATAAACTTTATAAAACAGCACTGAGCGTCGGTAATTTTAAAAATCTATATGCATTTTGCGAAACAATTCTCACGACTCAGTCTGAGCTTTTACTTTTAAACTGAATCATATTTTTATAAATTCCTATCACTGCTATGAACAGCACTGAACCAACTCGGAGCGTCAACATTTTAGATAATTAACCATAACATATACAGCAAATCTCACGCACGCTCTGAGCAAATGCTATCAAATTAAACCATATTCGTAGAGATTCATTCTATAACCCAAAACACTGTTCTAAGGCAGCTCTGAGCTTCGATACTTTAACATAAACTATCCATTCGCAACATATACAGAAGGCAAGTTGCACGGCTCAATCTGAGCAATTATTTTCTTCCCCAATCTCATCACTCAGAGTGATGGTGGGGACAATTTGTCACCTCGACTATAATCCCGTTGGCATTCAATTGTGCGCTGCCCTTTTACCCTGCATGTAACCCTCCCATCTTCTAGCTGTGTTTAGTAATATCGGATCTGGATCGAGGCCCGCGAGGAGATAAAGTTGGTTCACATGAGTGGCGTGGTAATCCCACCTGGCTAGATTTGGACTGATTCCGAGTGTGAAGTGACGAAGGTCGTAAAAACTGCCACTGCCCGTGTCGAATAGCGGCAACAGAGTTTTTAAGGAGGTCATACCGTCGTCGAACATCTTTTTAGCTAGAGATATTGAGTTCTCACCTTCAATTACATACAGGTCATACAGTCCGAGTAGCGTGTATATGAAGCCGTTGAGGACGAACAGCGGTGGGGTTGTGGGATACTCTTCGTACCTAAAATTTATGATAAAAACTGTTCAATCATCATCATCATCATCATCATTATCATCATCATTACAGCCTATCAAATGTCCACTGCTAATAAGTCATAGGTCTTAAATTAAATAAAAATTATTTTCCATTGAAATAGAAAGTTTTTATTCAATATAGATAATAAATAATACTTATTGAAATTATGTTTAATTTACCAATTTTTTATTATATCCTAATAATGACAAACGAGCACACAGTCCACCTGATGGTAAGTGGTTGCTGTGACCCATAGACATTTATATTCATCCTCAATAAAGAATCAAAATGCAGATGCGTCAACACCCGTGAGGACTAAGATGGAATGCCTCTTTTCCAGTAAAATGGACCTCCGGTTCTCTTCACTCACCATACGAAACACAGCAGTGTCAAGCTGTCATTTTACGCTGGTATTCTGTGAGAGCGTGGTCCTTTCCCGGTCGAGCCGACCCATTCGTGCTACAACTATACTACTAATATAGCTGCAGCATGGCTCTACCACATATAAAATCTCTAAATAAAATACACCTCTAAATAAACCTCTGTCCTAGGAAGAACCAGCAATAAACCAAGCAGGAAATTTTTAGAAATATCATCATTATCATCGTAAACGTGTGTTATCATTAAATAAAAAAAAATACATACTTTATAATTTTTTGATTCTAATCAAAAACTATATTAAATTAAACTATAAAGTTTAATTTTATATAGTTTTTATGAAAATAAATTAGTTTTGTATGTCGTATGTGTATATATTATAATGTGTGTATATATAAATAATAATCTACTTATATATAGGGGAATATAACGTTTAGCATCGAACACACCAAGCGGGACTCACATGCTATCTCATTCTCAATCTTCGGAGGCAGTGTGAACTATAACACGGCTCGGTCGTTAATGCAGCGGCCCAAATTTTATTAAACTTCCTCCACACTAGGATTTACTTCTGTATCATGGGGGCAGTTTACATACATAAATTTCACAAGGACAAACAAACATCCAGATCCGGAACAATTACTTGTAGGTCATACTAATACTTGTTCCGTGCGAGATCCGAACCCGCGGCCCTTATTAGCGCTGCATGTCATTGCTAAGCCACTGCACTACAGAGCCATCTAAATATATAGTAAAAAGTAGCTCACCATACGTATTTATCCATCCACAGAGCCTTAACGCCACCAGCGTGACTGGGAACGTCGAGCAACAGTAGCGCCCTCTGCGCCGCGCGTAAGTAAGTACTGTCGCCGCTGCGGTAATAAGCACGCGCCAACACCGATATTCCGTGCCCCTGACTCATGGCAGAGTGCCTGAAATGGTGTATCTATATATTAATACGCCAAGGAAAAACTTTGCATACCTTTTTAAACATGCTTAAAAAGGGGTGGAAAGTTTTTCCGCACATTGAGGAGTGTGAGATTTGGCATAGTTAAATTTTATATGGCGAAGGAATGCAGAAAGCTAAAATTTATTTAAAATATGTGTTACAAATATATTAAATTAAATAAAACATACATTGTTTATGTTCATACTCTCATTGTCAAACACGTAAATTGGCTTTTAGCTTGGGCCTTGGAGTGATTACTAGAATATGTATGTACTAACTCTAAGACTTGGACAAATTGTGTAGTTTGTTGGCATTCATACTGCCAAAGTCTCAAAGTAATTACTAAAGAGTATATAATCACTAAGTTTTTTGCCAAAAAAGTTTTTATTTTATATTATATATATATATATATATATATATATATATATATATATATATGTGTTTTATAAATAACATTAATTTATGGCTGGCTTAAATCTAAAAATTTGTATAAATTACGGTCGAATTTCGACTACTAGATAACCACTAGTAAATATACATATAAGAATTGTTTTTTTAAAACTTTACCCCCATACTAGGATTTTCTCCAGTATCGTGGAGGTAGTTTTTTACAAACCCAAGTTACACAAGTACAAACATCCAGACCCGGAACAATTATTTGTAGGCCATACAAATACTTGTTCCGTGCGGGATTTGAACCGGCGGCCCCCAGCGCAACAACTTATAGCTAAGTCACTGCGCCACGGAGTCGGACTTGACTACTTCGTTGGTCTAATGGTCGTAAGCGCGACTGCCGAAGACAATACACTAAAAGCAGCAGGGCCGATGAGAGTATCCGCAGTAGAACCAGTGAAATTAACATAGCCCGACTACGCTGAACTGATATGGAAATAGGCCGGCTATATAGCTCGAAGAACCGACAACCGATGTGGAAAAAAGTTTCTCGAGTGGCAACCTCGTACCGGTAAGCAACGCGGGCACCCCGGTTTGGACATTTCTCTGGGAGGTCTAACAGTTTACAGTAGACTGGCTGTAATGATAATGAATGAGGCTGCTGTGTTACTGGATGAATCTTCATGCATTCACTTGTCAATAAGTTCTTTAAAATGTGTCTAGATTATAAAATAATAATTTAAAATTATTAATTTTGTACACCCGACATCAATATAAATTATTAAGAACAGGATGTTCCTCGCGACTTCGCCCGCGTGTAGTTTAGGGTTTTAGTTAGGTAACGCGGAACCCTAACTCTTTTTTCTAAAATATAAGTAGCCTAAGTTACTCCTTATAACATCAGCTATCTGCCAGTGAAAGTCCCGTCGAAATCGGTCCAGCCGTTTCTGAGATTAGGCGGAATAAACAGACAGACAGACAGGTAAAAACTTTAAAATTTGTATTTTTGTTATAAGTATCGTATATACTTTCATATACATTTAGTGAAAAATTGTTATTTTGACATTACAAACAGACACTTCAATTTTATTTATTTGTATAGATAACTCAAAAACTATTGGTCAGACCTTGATCAAATTTATATGGAATCACATGTGAAACAGCAGCTTTTAAATAAAAAAAGAATCATCAAAATCGGGTCACCCAGAAAGAAGTTATGAGATAGCACACATAAAAAAGCAGTCGAATTGAGTACCTCTTCCTGTTTGAAATCAGTAGAAAATTAAGTGTGTCCAGACTAACTTTTTAATCCAAAATATATAGTTAAAACTAATTATCAGATATTTTTAAATACAAAGACATTAACTTAATTCTTTATGTCTATATTTTTAGGTATTTTCAAATTTTACCTTCTTTTTAAGGAAGGAGAGCTTTCTTTTACAAAATGCCGCTCCCTAAAACTATCAACCGGCGCCATGACCATCCTGGACCCCTTCGCTATGCCACTGGTTTACATTTCAACATCCACTTTAAATCAATATCAGAATTTTTTTCAGTGTTAAGCAATATTATTTGGTGTAATTTTCGCCTTTTATGTCTGTAATACCGAAATAATTGCTTTCTATTGAGCTAAGAGCATGTCCTTAAAACGTGAATTACCATTTTTATAATTTTTGTCAGTATATGTGATTAAACTTAACGAACAGATAGAAAGCAATGTCAGGAGAGATCTTGGCTATATTTTATTTAAAAAAAAAACTCGGAGACTTTTTCTGAATTCGAAAGTCAATAAGGGCATCCAAGACTTCTTCTGCCACCAGGGCGGCGCCACTGGAAAGTGAGATATAATATTTGACAGATGTCATAGCGGGGAAGTTAATTTGTTCGGAAAATGTAAAGGTTATTGTCTCTTTCAGTACTATTAGCAATATTTTATATTCATAAGATACAAATAAATAAACCAACGCACGAATATTCATAAAAATCGAAAAATTAAAAAAAAAATTAAAAATGTGCAAAAAATTAAAGAGCAAACCACAGACGCATTATTTTGTGTATTAATATAATACTCTAGAAACTGATAAACTTTTATTAAAATCCAACTTCTCAATTAAATAACATTGTGCAACAAAAAACTTTACCTCAGTGTCAACTAGCGACATCTGGTGAGCAGAAAATTATTAGCCCTCATTAAACGCGATAGAATCCGTAAAAGTAATAATCATAAAATAAATTATCCTTGATGATTATCTTAAACTTAAATGATGCCGGGGCGGGTCGCTAGTCATAAATATGAAACGGTCTTTTAGTTAAGAATAGAGTAGAGCAATCGTCCTCTTATTAAACCGTGCTATAAAAATCGAGTCATATAATAATCACGTAAGAGTCGCTAATAGACTCATCCGACCCCAGAGGGAATCTAACGGAACAGTACAATTTTGTTATTAATGTTTCCGTGAGTTATTTTTCAAGAGGTCATTTCGTTTTATAAAAACTGCGCTTGTTAAATTTTAAAATTTAAGTCTAGAGCTTGATGGCTCTGTGGCGCAGTGACTTAGCTAAGACTTGAGTTGCGGCGCTGTGGGACGCGGGTTCGAATTCTCGCATGGAACAAGTATTTGTATGGCCTACTAATAATTGTTTAGGGTCTAGATGTTTGTCCTTGTGCAATTTATGTTTGTAAATGGCCTTAACGATACAGGAAGAAATCCTAGTGTGCCAAATTTTTTTTAAAGAGAATGAGAATTAAGAGAGAGAGAGCATTTTATGATATTACAAAGCAAACTTATTACAAGGATCATTGAGGTAATAATGATAAACGCCATGAAAACCTTGCGTTATCATGATCTCGAAATAGGTATTTTCAAAATAAGACCTAAAATCATTGATATTACTAGCGTAAGGACCGGGCCAAGCGCGCAACTAAATGGCACCAATGCATCGGCCTTAAAATGACAGTTTAGAACCAAAGCGACTTTAGGTTACGCCAGGGTGGGATTCAGACCCTCAAAAACATTGTATATGGAAACTAAAATTAAACTTACTATTTGTTCAAAATTATACCATGTTTAACGTTTCATATTTCTTCCCATGCGTCGGGGTTTTCGCGTCACGCGTCTAGCGTAGATATAAGTTTCATTTATCGACGTTTTTCTTTTGAATTGAAAGTTCATAGCAAATTCAAAAATATTGCTATGAAATGATGTCGTCTCTGCCTGAATGACCGGGATAATAAAACATCACATGAAGAATTTCCATCTACTCAGTCATTGCCTGATTTGGTGTTGCCGAATATACAGAAATTCTCCATATTGTAGGCTAAATATAGAAAAGTTAAATAATACAAGTCAGTCGACCTGAACATAAAATTATGGTATTTTCGCGTAGTATAGTGGCATAGTACAGTATAAATGTTAAGCAGCAGGATTACTGCGAAACATAAGGTACTAAATTACTCTCTGGTGTTATTTCACTACTAATTTATGAAATAGTATTATTGAGAAAAATACTACACACTACACCCGTTTAATAATTATTATACTTCGAAATCCAGCCCCTGTTACGTGCTCGATCAATGCAACGCGGCACTCATATAGTTCGTATGTGTTATGACAGATGGTGCTACTTTTGCTTGTATGAAGAAGGTATAAGTAAAATTTTTAGATGGGCGTATCCTTCCTTTTGAAATCATTGTCTAAAATACGTTAATGGTTAGCTGTAGGTATAGATATTGGTTGTTGTTAAGGTACACTGCTCGCTATCTCGTGTTTTTCCCCCTCTATCGACTCTTACGACGCCCACGAGTGATTAAAAGATCCAATTACTTAGATATGGCAAATTAACTAAATCTACGAGTACATAACTTTGACATCTCACTAGCCAGGCAGTTTTGGCGGGAACTTCACCACCAGTGGATTGTTGCTTTCATACTATCATTTAAATAATGGTTTGAAGTGGACTTTGATGTATAAAAGTGGTGTGATTTTGTGTATTAAATGTCTGCGTAAGTGAACCATTAACGTAACCAATGTTACAAGTGCTTCGACGGTTTCTTTTATCCGCTTAGACTTTGAGATATTATTGTTATCAATTGTCCGCTGGGTTATACTGTCGTTAAAGTATATTCCAAGAACATTGCAATGTGACACATCAGCATATCGTGAAAACATTTATAAATAAAATTCAAATTAGACTATACTGCATGGTATAATACCTTTGTCTGCTTTAAATGCCTAATCGTAACAGGAGCGGAATTTCGGCGGGAACTTGACCGCTGAAGGATTGTTACGCCTGTCTTATCATTTGAATAATGGTAGAAGTGGGTTTTAATAAGTAAAAGCGGTGCTATTTTTAGTAATTAAATGTCAGTGCATGTGAGATATTAGTGGAAACGATAAAACAAGTGCTCGGATTTTGATGTGAGCCTCAAGTTACTGTCTGTGAGATACTATCGTCATCGACTGTCCGTTGGCTAATGCTGCCGGCGAAATTCCTCAAAAACTTCACAATTTGACGCATCAGCATACAGTGAAGAGATCCAAACAAAATATAAATCAGACTAGGCCGCATGGTCAAAGACCTTTGCCTGTTTTAAATGGCGAATTAGGCTGTATGGTCAAAGACCTTTGTCTGTTACAATCAGCACATCGAAACAACCGCAAATTGCTCACCAGCCAGGGCGCAGGTCAGCGGCGCCGGGCGCCACGTGGCGGCGCGCCGGCACGGGCCAGCCGCCGCGCGCGCGCTGCGCCCGCACCAGCCAGGCGGCCGCCGCCAAGAAGTGCGCCGAGTGCTCGCTCGTGGACACGCGCACGCGCGCCACCGCGCCGCGCCCGCTCACCACCAGACCAGATATCTGCAAATATTATCTCATATATACCATAATTATATTATTACAACAGCCAGTAGCGTGCTACAACACGTTGCAAGAGACCGTTTCCAATAATAAATGTCAATGACCTCTGTCAACTTAATAAAATAAATACATAGAAATAGACAACACAAACTATTCATGCAAGCAAAACAAAACCTTAAGTCTACGAGAAAAAAGCTTTTTCTCCTTTACGCATACATATTATGTTAATTGCGAGTGTTCTGGTACCTTCCCATTGGGAATGGGCATGGGGAAAGATGTAGATGTCTATGGGTCACAGCAACTACTTACCATCAGGTGGACTGTGTGCTTGTTTGTCACTCTATCCTATAAAAAAGAATAGGCAATACTCGTATTTTATTAAAAGTTAGGGATCTACTAAACAAACCCTTTCTCAGTGGCTCGCTTGGCAAGCATTTCAAATATTTGACAGTGCCATATAAATAGTTATAGCGCTATTTATCGTTAGCCATAAGATTTAATGACAATTCGCATACTTGCCCTTACCGACACCGACGGGACATATTGCGGTGATGGATTTTCTAACGACCCACCACACTGTCACAAATCCTCATCATCATCATTACAACCCTTCGCAAGTCCACTGCTGAACATAATCCTCCCCCAAGGAATGCCACAAAGCACGGTCTGAGCCACCTGCATCCATCGACTTACTGCATGTCTTACCAGGTCGTCACTCCATCTAGTGGGGGGACGCCCTACACTTCGTCCACCGGTACGAGGCCACCACTCGAGAACCTTTTTCCCCATCGGTTGTCAGTTCTTCGAGCTATATGCTATATGCCCATTGCCACTTCAGTTTACTGATCCATTGGACTATGTTGGTCACTGATTCTACTGTAGATATTCTCATTTCTAAGTTTATCACGCAGAGAAACTGAACCTCACCTTGAATTTATTCCTGGGTGATTTGCGCTTGGGTCGGTCCTGTAACGCCCAGCCTTTCTGCATGTCGATGATCAGGTCTCGAGTTATGCGTCTCCATCGCGTTTCTGTACCGATCCCGTAGTAGATGTGGTCATCCTAGACAATTTTCATTTTCAAGCATTCAAATTTAAAACTGAAGAATTTAATTCAAATGATTTATTGTGAAAAATTCAAATTGGTATATATTTTCTTAAATTTTGATGTAGAAACGAAAAATAACGTGTAGGGGAAGGAATCCTGGATTTATCTATGTAAATGGTAAGACTGCTGGAGGACTAATATGATATGCTAATTTACGTGTTTTTACGTGTAATTTACGCTTAATGTTGCTGTGTTTCATAATATGATGAGTGTAGAGAACTAGAGACTTTTTTTACTGGTAACAAGGTATTACATCTTAGTCCTCAGAGGTGACAACGCATCTGCATTTTGATTCTTAATGTCTGTGGGCCACAGCATCCACTTACCATCAGGTGAACTGTGTGCTCGCTTGTCACCCTTATTATAAAATGAAACTTGTTAATGTTTGCCGCCAAGCAGCATTACTCACTGTCCAGTTTGAAAATTGAAGATCCAATCCCAATACAAGTATTGAAATTTGAGATTGGGTCTCACAATGGCTGTCACACTGCCTGCAGTGAGCCATTCCAACTTTGTCCTCAGTGGTGACAATACATCTGTATCTGTCTTTTTTTTATTTATTTATAGGAGAGGGGGCAAACGAGCATGCAGCTCACCTGATGTTAAGTGACTATCGCCGCCCATGAAAAACCACAACACCAGGGGAATTGCAGATGCGTTGCCGGCCTTTTAAAAAGGAGTAGGCTCTTTTCTTGAAGGTCCCTAAGTCGTATCGGTCCGGAAAAATCGCTGGTGGTAATCGATTCTACAGGGAAGTTGTGCGAGGAAGAAAACATTTTCTAAATCGCACAGTGGTGGACCGCCAATCATCCAGGTGGTATGGATGGTATCGCGAGTTTTGTCGCCATGTGCGAATTAGTCCGAACAATTACTCAGAGCACTCCCCGTGGTCATCATCATCATTACAGCCCTTCACAAGTCCACTGCTGAACATAGGCCTCCCCCAAAGAATGCCACAAAGCACGGTCCTGAGCCACCTGCATCCATCGACTTCCTGCATGTCTTACCAGGTCGTCACTCCATCTCGTGGGGGGACGCCCTACACTTCGCCTACCGGTACGAGGCCGCCACTCGAGAACCTTTCTTCCCCATCGGTTGTCGGTTCTTCGAGCTATATGGCCGGCCCACTGCCACTTCAGCTTACTAATCCGTTGGGCTATGTCGGTTACTCTGGTTCTACTGCGGATATCCTCATTCCTAAGTTTATCACGCAGAGAAACTCCGAGCATAGCCCTCTCCATAGCTCGCTGAGCGACCTTGAGCTTTCTCATCCGGCCAGCAGTGAAGGACCACGTCTCAGTTCCGTAAGTCATCACTGGCAACACGCACTGGTTGTACAATTTCGTTTTAAGGTTTTGAGGTATGTCTGACGAGAAGATGTGTCTTAGCTTCCCGAACGCTGCCCAGCCGAGTTGAATCCGTCGATTGACCTCTCGGTCGAAGTTGGACTTACCTAGTCGGACTATTTGTCCCAGGTAAACATACTCGTCAACAACTTCGAGCTTAGTGTTCCCAACAACTACCGGCATAGGTGTGACATGAACATTAAACATGATCTTTGTTTTGTCCATGTTCATCTTAAGACCTATCCGTTGGGAAACACTATTGAGGTCATTGAGCATAGTGCTTAGGTCCTCCAGCGATTCTGCCATAAGGACTATATCGTCGGCAAATCGAAGGTGAGTGATGTACTCGCCATTGATGTTGATACCGTATCCTTTCCAGTCCAGAAGCTTGAAAACGTCTTCCAATGCAGCGGTGAAGAGTTTCGGGGATATGACGTCACCCTGTCTTACACCTCTCTGCAATTGGATAGGTTTCGTACTCTGGTTCTGTACTCGGATAGCCATCATAGCCCTACTGTACAAGCACTTCAACACTTCGATATACCGACAGTCAACTTGGCACCGCTGAAGGGACTGCAGCACCGCCCAAATTTCGACGGAATCAAAGGCTTTCTCATAGTCCACATACGCCAGACATAGTGGCAAATTGTACTCTTCGGACTTCTGTACAATTTGCCGAAGGGTATGTATGTGGTCTATGGTGCTAAAGCCCTTTCGGAAACCGGCTTGTTCGGGAGGCTGGAAGTCGTCAAGTCTGCGCGCGAGACGATTCGTAATGACTCTCGAAAACAGCACGTAGACGCGGCTCAGAAGGGAAATCGGTCTGTAGTTCTTCAAGAGAGCGTTGTCACCTTTCTTGAAGAACAAGACCACCGCACTTCTGCTCCACGCCTCCGGTGTAATGCCACCATGGAGGACAGAATTAAAGAGCTTCTGAAGGACTTCAAGTACCGGTTTTCCACCCGCTTTCAGAAGCTCCGCTTTAATTCCATCCTCGCCTGGGGCCTTACCGTTTTTAAGGTGCTGGAGAGCTATTCTAATCTCGCTCAGACTGACGTCCGGGATATCTTCGGAATAGTGTCGGATGAGACTCGCTCTTGGATCGTTACTCACACTTGCGTGTGGCTCCAACGATGACGTGTACAACTGCCCATAGAACCTCTCAATCTCACTCAAAATCTCAGGTGTCCCGGAAACGATGCTGCCACATTCTGTCTTCAGCTTTGACAGTTGGCTCTTTCTGGCAGACAGATCTCTGGCAAAGACTTTGGAGCCTTGGTTCCGCTCGATCGCTTCTTCAATACGAGCTGTATTGAAGTTGCATAAGTCCCGCCACATGTATTTGGAGATCTGTCTGTTCAGATGCCTGTATGCTGTCAAGTCTGTTGAAGAATGTAGCTTCATCTCCCGTCTAACAGCCATGAGATTAAGAGTGTGATCGGAGAGTTTTTGTGTTCTTTTGCGGCGGGTCTTGCAGAACTTAGCTCCGACCGCATGGACAGTTTCCACGAGCTTGTCATTCAAATCGTCCACTTCATTGCAGTCTTCTAGGCACTGAAAACGGTTTTGTAACTCGAGCTGAAAGGTTTCGGGACTTTGGATTAGAGCACGAGGGGGACGGAGCGTTGACTTCATTAGACGAGACCTCTCGCAACTTAACGTTTAGGTTCAGTGTGCCTCTAACCATTCGGTGATCGCTACCAGTTTTCACCCACGCGATCACGGAGACATCACTGAACAGTTATCTTCTGGTCGTCATAATGAAGTCAATCTCATTTTTTGTCGAACCGTCGGGGCTCGACCAGGTCCACTTCCTGTGGGGCCGCTTCTGGAAGAAAGAGTTCATCATAAAGAGTCCCTCTTTCTCCATGAAGTCGGCCAGCTGCTGGCCCCTTGGGTTCCGTTGCCCTATTCCAAATTTCCCTACTTTCAGCTCACCGTTCTCTCTTGTGCCTAGTTTTGCGTTGAAGTCTCCCATTAACACCGTATATTGGGTTTTGGAGGAATGCATGGCTCTAGAGATATCCTCATACATTTCCTCCACCTCCTCATCGGGGTGTGCCGAGGTTGGTGCGTAAACCTGTATGACCTTCAGCGAATACCGTTTGGTGATTCTGAGTATAAGGTACGCAACCCTCGTCGACACACTCCCGATCTTTACAACGTTGTTAACGAGAGACTTGTGGACGATAAATCCGACACCTCCTTGGGACAGATGTTCGCCCTCCCGGTGATAGAGCAAGTTGCCGGATTCGAGGATTACCGTGTCCTCCCCCTCTCTTCGGACTTCGGATAATCCTATAATATGCCAGCGCAACTAGTCTATCTCTTCTTCCAGCTCCACAATCTTCTCGTCAGTCCTCAGGGTGCGTGCGTTGTACGTTGCCAGGTCGAGTCGTCTAAGGTGGCAACCGAACCTCCACCGGAGATTCTTAGCACCCCTGCCCCGCCGTTACCATGGTCGCCACCGTAGCCAGGAATAGCGGGGCCGCCAGGGACTGGGGGCCGTTTCTTTGTTACTGTCATTCATAGGGGGGTATTTGCCATACTTGCCACGCTTGGCGAGCGGGTTAGCAACCGCAGTTTTTTATTGTTAGTTTGTTGTTATCAAGAAGATGCTGCTGCCCATCTCCTGCCTGTTTCCCTTTGTCGCCTTTTACGACACCCACGGGAGGATATGGGGTAGTGGATATTCTTGACCGCCACTACACGGCTAGTGGCGGTTAAGAACCCCACCGTGGTACTTGCGATAAAATACGCAAAGAGATGCAACATCTCTACAACAGTGCCAGTGAGTCAAGCCTATCGCAAAGAACTCGGTCGTCGACGATTCGAACCGCTCTGCGCTGGATGCGGTCAAGTGGAAGGAGCTGACACTGGGGAGCCCCTGCCCAGAGATGGGAACAGTATTCCATGTGAGGCCGAACCTGCGCCTTGTAAAGTTGCAGGCGGTGTACCGGCATGAAATACTGTTCCGCTCTGCTGAGCACACCAAGCTTTTTAGAGGCAAATTTGGTCTTCTCTTCCAAGTGACCACGAAATTGCACGTCACTCGATATGTCGACGCCGAGGATTCCGATACTGGCTGAGGCAACAAGGGTAGTGCCTTGAAACTGAGGAGACACGACAAAGGGGTTCCTTTTTGCGGTAAACGCGCAAACTTGTGTCTTTTGGGGATGGAACTTTAGTCGCCCCCAATCCGAGACTTTGTGGAACAAAGTCTCGACTTCAGACACAAGTTTGTCCAGGTACTCGGCGACGTTTTCCCGAGAAATACTGGCACGGCCGGTGTATAAAGCATCACCAGTGCTGTCATCTGCATAGCAATGTATGTTACCGGTTTGCAATCATTGATATGCAGAATAAACAGCGTTGGTGATAGCACGCAGTCTTGTGGAACACCAGCGTTAATAGGCTTGTAATCGGAGCACGCACCGTCTACTACGACCTTGATGCTCCGATCAGTGATCACTGAACTGATGATCCAATTGCACAATTTGTCGGAAAGCCCATAGGAAGGAAGCTTCAAAAGAAGCGCTTTGTGCCAGACACGATCGAAGGCCTTCGCTATGTCAGAACTAACGGCCAATGCCTCCCACTTGGACTCGATCGCCTGTCCCCGTCTATGTGTTAGGTAAACACGAGGATCACCAGCTGAGCGACCCCGACGGAAACCGTACTGGCAGTCACTAATCAGCTGGTGCTCCTCAAGGTACCTCATGAGCTGGCAGGTAATAATGGACTCTACTATTTTCGATAACAAGGAGGTGATGGCGATAGGCCTGTAATTGGACGGATCAGAGCGGTTACCTTTTTTAGGGGTCGGGGGCACGAAAGCTGTCTTCTATGAATTCGGGACAACGCCTAGCGAGTAGGAGTACCGAAAAAGACGCGTTAGAACCAGTGCCAACTCTGGAGCACACGTCCTCAGTACAATTGGCGGGATTTGTCAGGCCCAATCGACTTGTGGATGTCCACAAGTCGAGTGAGTGGTTGATGATGAGGAGAGGAGTGCTTTGCGTACTGAGCACTGTGTGAATCGCACATTTAAAGTTGATTAGATAGTATATGCGCTACAGTAAGTGGCAAACTTACTCAGGTTAACTATAAGCTAGTTTGTTACTCTAATTTTATTAAAAAAAAAGGATTCAAGCGTGTCAGTTGTAATAATATTTTACTTGTATACTAACTTGAGCGTAAATTAACTGGTTACTCGTCACATAGTGCAAATATACAGTCTCCTTCTTGTCCTTGTTCTGGAGCACCACAGTCAACGAAGAGTTGGGCTTAAACAGTACGTCGAGGCTCAACACGAAATCCTGGGTGATGTTCACTTTAAGCCACACCTGGCTGGACGCCAGTTCTGACGTGGAGAACTTCAAAACATTTGCCTTTAATTCTGAGTCGTTCTCTCTAGAGATTGTCGCGTCTTTGCTGACTATCCAGTTCCCAAGAACTTTTTCCCCGTCGTCTATTATCCTCACTCTAGGTTCGGGCTCTGTGATATTTTTGCTGTAGTGCGCCAGTCCAAACTGTGCTATTTGAGTTGCATAGTAGAACCCACGTGGTTCCCACTGGGTTGAAACTGGCACTCCTTCGATCCCGCTGATGCATTTGACGCGTTCTCTCACCTCCACGTTATAGTTCTCGAATGTGGTGAAGGTTCCTCGCGGGTCGTACTTCTTCTTGGGATGGTAGACTTTGCTGTAACTGTGTGACCATTCGAATCTGTCTACGCCGTCCGTAGATGTTATTTTTCCATAAACCTAGTAAACAAATACTGATAATTGAAGGCTAAACTGCGAAAAAATTGTGAGTGCATATTAAGGAAAAACTGAATATAGGCCTCTCGCAGAGGATTAGTCACGCTTGGTAAGCTGACTGACGATCGAGCTTTCATGTTCTTTTCCGTCACCGGTATACAAAGAGTATAATAAGTATATACAGAAAAAGAGAGCCCTCTGACGACATTTTATTAAAGACAAAATTGAACTACTTGTGTCTCCTACAAATTGAATCCGAACTAATTCGCTATATATAGCTATATTATATGTATACATCATACGAGGGCTGCACTAAAAGTATCGGGAATAGAATATTTCCACTGTTCCTGTCATATTAAAATCTTTTTAATTGAAAACTCCTTGGTTTTAAAAATCGAATACCATTAATTTTTTTTAAAAAGATTCTCGATCTTGCCACAAGGTTTAAACTATTATGTTCTTTAATTCGTATACTTACTGAAACAGTTCCTACTTTTTTGTAATACTAATTTATAATTTTAATATTAAAAGTAGGTAAATAGTTTCAAAAGGTACACTTGTATTTCTGGGATAATAATATATAAAAAGGTTATCTGCAATGAAACAAGAATGACAATTTAGTTTAGTATGACAATTATTTCATTTTTTATTTTAATATTTTTATTATAATATTATGCCGGTTGCCAGTATCGTAAGTATCATATTTATCAATTGATTCGATAATTATTTCGTAATTATAATATATAATTTTTGGTGTACTTATTTTTATTTTGTAAGTAAATTTCATTTTAGTTTTCCAAAGTAGCGACATCTGTGAAGCCACAAGAACAACTATAAACAAAATTTTTTTGAAAACAAATTATGGATGGCGGCACCATCCATTTAATTTTTGTGGTTCTGTCTCCTACGGCTGCCAGTATATATATTTCACTGAAATCATTGTGCGATGGATGCGCTCTGGCTAAGCATTGAGATGCGGTGCTGAGGATCGCGGGTTCAAGTTTCGCACGGAACAAGTATTTGTTTGGCCTAGAAAAATTTGTTTCAAGTCCTTGTGTAAGGAGAAAATCCCCAGTGTGAAAATCCTAGGGTAATATTTTATAATTAAAAAAGGAAAGAAAGGATGATAGAGTGGTAGATAGATAGACTTTTTAAACATGACAGCGGTAAGTTGTCAAAAGTTGACTACGTACATAATCAAACAATAAAGAATATTATCTCTATATATAAAAATCAATTGCTGTCCGTTAGTCTCACTAAAACTCGAGCGATTTTGATGATTTTTTGTGTGTGTTTGTTTTTCACAGATCACAATTGGACCCGGTAGGTGGCGCTGTTGCCGAGATTCAGAAATCACCCGTGCGAAGTCGGTGTAGTATAGTATTCAATAAAGTCAAATGAGCAACTTACCTCGAAGTACTTCTGTATAAAAGAAAACGGCAAGTAGACCTGGTCCCGGTCACGGCGGCAGGCTACCGAATACTCTCCATTAATAAGGCACTCGATCTCTCCTCCGCCGCCGCGATCTGATAGCCCGTTCGACAGCACCGAGCCTACTATAAATGAAACTTAATAAGTTCAAAAATATTAGTGGCGGGGATAATTTATTTTTAATTATTATAAGCCAGTGCTTGGACTATAAGCCCATCTGGTTGTGAGTGGTGATGAAGCCCTAGATGGTAAATCGACTGTCTTAGCGTAACAAAAGCCTGTTCGATTGTATCCGGGCGGAATATTTATATATAGATTCGGCAAATTGTTACTTACACTCCTTTGCTGTACGTATAAAGAAAGATGAAGCAAACCGGTTCTAATGTGTGGAGTAGCGACAACAAAGAGGTGAATACCCGCCAACTGCCTGGTTGGATGATGACGGAGAGGGGAGGGAGGAATTAAAGCATGAAATTCCTGCGCACTCAGAGAAATGCATACTTTAGAATAACGAGAGGCTGGCTACTCTGCACCTGTGCTCATGGCTGATAAGATTGGTTTCAACCAAATCAAGTTTATGAATAAGACTCGTAACACGTTTTTCCACTGAGATACGCTGCCACGTAGCATTAGAATAGAATAGAATAGAATATTTTTTTATTCAATATACATTACATGTGTAATTCTTATTGAAAGTCATTTTTTACTTTACCACTGGTTCGAAAAAACCCTCTGTCGTGGGAAGAACCAGCAAGAAACCCAGCGGGACTTTTTTTTAAAATAAATTTTACAATATAAATGATTACGAACTATTTACAAAATTTATTTTAGAAACTGCTTGGAAGCGACCACCTCATTCCCAGGGGTTATTATCAACCATGTATTCATTTATACTATAATAACCCTTTTTATACAGTTTCAGCTTAATAAAACATTTAAACTTGGTAATAGAGAGAACCTGTACACTTTCCGGGACCTTGTTGTAATAGCGTATACATTGCCCCAAGAATGAATTACTGACTCTGTGGAGTCGAGAAACTGGCATCACTAGCTTGTGTTTGTTCCTAGTGTATACAGAATGTACATCACTTTTTTTACTAAAACTATCTTTGTTTTTGTGAACATACATTAAATTTTCGTAAATATACTGAGAGGCCAAAATTAATATATTAATTTCTTTAAATTTATCTCTAAGAGACTCTCTCGGTTTTGGATTGTAAATAGCTCTAATGGCCCTCTTCTGTAAAACAAAAATAGTTTCTGAATCAGCCGCATTTCCCCATAGCAAAATCCCATAAGACATTATGCTATGGAAATAACTAAAATAAACTAACCTAGCTGTCACGACACTAGTGAGACCTCTAATCTTTTTTACAGCATAGGCTGCAGAACTTAGTCTGCTTGCTAATTTGGATATATGGGGGCCCCACTGGAGCTTTGCGTCAAGAGTGATGCCAAGAAAAACAGTGGATACAACAGGGCTCAATTCCTTCCCATTTAAAAATACATTGGTATACAGATTTTAACATTCGTTGTTGTAAATTTAACACAATTAGTTTTATTTCCGTTCAAATGCAGATTATTAATGTTAAACCAATGCACTAATTTTGATATAGCATTATTCACTTTGTCACATTTAAATGATTGACGTTTAAGTTTAAAAATCAAGGAAGTATCATCAGCAAATAATATATCCCCTACAAGGTGAGGTAAGTCATTAATATACACCAGAAACAGGAATGGGCCGAGAATCGAGCCCTGAGGAACACCCATTAGTACAGGTGACCCGGAAGAACTTTTACCATTGATAATAACCTTCTGTTTTCTATTACTTAAATATGACATAATAAGTTTAAGCGCTGTGTTCTTGACACCATAGTACTGTAGCTTCCTGATTAATGTCTCATGGTGAACACAGTCGAAGGCCTTGGAAAGGTCACAAAATATACCCAAAGCATCCTCTGAATTCTCCCATGCACAAAAAATATGTTTAATAAGCTCAAATCCAGCGTCAGTTGTCGAGCGACCCCTTGTAAAACCGAATTGATTTTTATGTAGAAATTTATTAATATTAATAAATTTAACATCTGATCTAAAATATTTTTTCAAAAATCTTACTTAATGTTGGTAGTACAGAAATTGGTCTAAAATTGGCGGGGTCTAATGTACTACCAGATTTAAATATAGGTATGACTTTACTATGTTTCATTAAATCAGGAAACACACCAGATTCGACGCTTATATTAAATATAGTGGCTAGATTAAAGTATAGTGGCATTTTGCAACTCCAAACATAAGGGGCAAGAGGCTGTAAGGGGCGATACAAGCTTTCTACTGATGCTAATCTCTACGCACGCTGCTTATTAGAACCGAGGTCCTGACGACTGACCACAAAGGAGATGAACCCAAAAACATTGAATCTAAATTTTACAGACTACAGTGTTATGGCTGCAGCATGGATGGGTTGGTTCACCACGGAAGGATGAGGCTCACACAGGATACCTACGTTCAATTAATAGCAACAGTAAGCTGCACTGTGTTTCATATGAGTGATGAGAACCAATGACTTTTAATGGTACTGAGGCATTCCATCTTAGACCTCGGGGATGACAATGCATCCGCATTTTGATTTCTAAGCGAGGATAGGCAGGTGTTATGAGGTATGGCATCCACTTACGTTCAGGTGGACTTTATGTTTGTTAGTCATCCTTACATCTGTAAAACACCTGTTCAGGATGGTGAGTATGGGCGAATATTCCAATTAATATTTGTTAGCTGGTGCATTCTTTAAAAGGATACAGGACTTAAAGTCTGTTTATAAAGCGGATAACATTCCTTGGCCAACCACTATTTAAAAACTGTTGTCAATTATCAACTGCATACAACATACAATTTCTTTTTATAGGATAAGGGTAACATAAGAGCACAAAGTCCACCTGATGGTAAATGGTTGCTGTGGCCCATAGACATCTAGATCAATCCTCAATTATGAATCAAAATGAAGATGCATTGTCACCTGTGAGGACTAAAATGGAATGCCTCGTTTCCAGTAAAAAGAGTCCCTGGTTTTCTACAATCACCATAAGATACATAGCAGCGTTAAGCTGCTATTTTACGCTGGTATTTTGTGAGAGCGTGGTCCTTCCCCAGTCGAGCCGATCCTTTCGTGCTACAACTATATAGTAATATAGCTGCAGCATGGCTCTACAAAGTAAAAGAATCTACCACGTAAGAGAATTATACTACTATTTTAAGCCCTCGCCTTGTAGTGGCAGTGTAATAGACTTCGCTAGACCTCATATCACCCCGTGGGTGTCATAAGAGGTGATAGAGGAAATCTGGATCTGTTTCAATTGATTGATAACAGCAACTTCCTTACAAAAATTCTAAGTTATAAAAAAACTAGAGTTGTCAACCCGCATGCCAAGCATAGCAACTCTGGTAGATCTCCCCTATAAGGCGATCCATGGGGGAGGCCTATGTTCAGCAGTGGACTTTGATAGGCTATAGTGATAATGATGATGAATATGTCTTAACACAAACATTGGGGAACTAGAAAGAAAACACAGTAACTCATTGTAATCTACTAATGTCCAATGTAATGCTCTTAAATAGATTAGAAGAATGCTGGAAGGCAGCATAAGAGAGACACGGGGATGATCACAACACAACCCGACTCTATGGTGGAATTTGTTTTAAAACAGGGATTGCACGCATGCTGCAATAAGCTGTTAACTGCATTTGGTAAATAAGTTGTTGTTCAGACTACACATTAAGGGTTTGGGCAAATCCCAGATTCGGATAGAAGCACATGCTGTTATTGGACTTGTTCTTTTAATAAAGATACCTGCTTGCCATAGGTGTTACAGATGGTTCGATATGCAGAGCTTGCATGACGGAATAAAAAACGGTGGGCCAACATTCTGATGATTTTTATTTTTTTTATAGGAGAGGGGGCAAACAAGCATGCGGCTCACCTGATGGTAAGTGACTGCCGCCGACCATGAACAACCGCAACACCAGGGGAATTGTAGATGTGTTGCCGGTCTTTTAAAAAGGAGTAGGCTCTTTTCTTGAAGGTCCCTAAGTCGTATCGGTCTGGAAAAATCACTGGTGGTAAACTATTCCACATGGAAGTTGTGACATGATATGTCGGGCAATTGCTAGATATAGGGTTCAATATCTCTGTGCGTCGACCACGCTCTCACAGAATACCAACGTCAAATTGGAGCTTAAAATCTGCTGTTTCGTATGGTGAGTGTAGAAACTGGAGACCCTTTTAACGGAAAACTAGACATTCATTTTGATTCTTAATCGAGGATATTTGTATATGTCTATGGACCACAGCATCAACTTAGTATCAGCTTGGATTGCGTGCTTGTTTGTCTTCCTTATTCTATAAAAAAATTGCAAACTATACTAATTTGTTTGGGTTTGGGTTCTTAGGTTGTAATAAACTATTCAATTAATTTACTAACTTGGTCTATGTGAAAGCTCCCCGCAGCGGCTCCAAAAGAGCGTAAGCAACAGGACACCAATGCATAGAGCCACCAGCGCCGAGCGCATGTTTATGCGCACCAGCATCATAGTGCAGTCCTTCACAACAAAACAAAAACATTTTAATGAAATAAGGCATTCGTTTGAAAAAACTATTACTTATATCTAAGGTAGAATGTTAATCTGCTAAAATCTACAAGTTAAGTTTAAGCCTACTAGATACAATTTAATTTTTTAAGCATAGGTTTGGTTTACAAATGTTTGGATGACTATAGCTCATTAGGTCTACATCAGGGAATATCTATAAATTTAATAGTATGTGGGCAAACAAAGTAAGGTACACACCAGCAGCACCAATAAACTATAATTTACATTTATAGTGCTAATTTATCATATGCTTCACGGTGAAAGAAAACATTTTTAGTGCAAAAGCATATAAAGTCCATAAACATACATTGGATCATTGTGGTGGAAACTCCCCTCCCTTCTTAATGTTTGAATAAAGGGAGTGTCATAAAATGAGTAGATGAGTGTATAGAGCACACAAGAATAGATGTTCTACATTCATCATTCAGCTCATTTTTTCTTCATTTTAAGCAAAATTAGACGGTTAACATATGTGACCTAGATGCATCAAACATATTATTTCTACCTGGGTTCCACACTTAATTAATAAAAATAGAATGAATACATCACTGTTTTTTATTAAGAACAGCACTTAGACTACATCATATGTATAATATAGTAATACTATATTATAATTTATAAATACATATAATTTACTTAAGGTTAAGCAAACAAACATTTCAACATAATCAAGTATAAGGCTTATTACATTACACGATTTATCGGGCCCTGTTTATCGTGTGCCCTGCCTACCAGACAGGGCGCTGCTTATTACACTACGCTAGAAATCGCTTCCTGCCTCAGTTGTTACTCGAACGTGGAAACGATTGCACGTCTAGCATTATGGTGCAGACTTTATCTAAACGTCAAAAAATTGCTTTATTGTTTTTTTTACGTGGTAGAGCCATGCTATAGCTATATTAGTAGCTTAGTTGTAGCACGAATGGGTCGGCTCGACCGGGGAAGGATCACGCTCTCACAGAATACCAGCGTTAAATAGCAGCTTAACACTGCTGTGTTTCGTATGGTGAGTGTAGAGAACCGGAGACCCTTTTTACTGGAAAAGAGGCATTCCATCTCAGTCCTCACGGGTGACAACGCATCTGCATTTTGATTCGCATACGAGGATAAATGTAGTTTAGGTGTCTATGGGCCACAGCAACCATTTACCATCGGGTGGACTGTATGCTCGTTTGTCACCCTATCCTATAAAAAAAAACTTTGGCTGGCGGTAACGTGCAAGGCCAAGCTAAAAAAAGGAAGGAAAGTTAAATGTGGATGAAAAATTATTTGCTCCTCAGAGAAAAACTATCGAATATGCAAATAGTCAGCGTTTTGGACCCAACAGACCTACGAAACTATTTTAAAGAGTAGGTGAAAACCAATTGGACGAGTTATTAAGCTTAGTAACGCCTTTAATAGAAAAAAAAAATACTTTAATGATTTCTTATATTTACGCGAACACTACACATTGAATAAAACTACTTGTATGGATTCTATCGCGTTTAATTTTTTTTTATTAATTCCCGACGTTTCGGATGCTTTACAGCAACCAGTCCCCCGTGACCATGGGTGGTAAAGCAACCGAAACGGGAATTAATTTAAAAAAAAATATTAAACGCGATAGAGTCCATAAAAGAAGTTTTATTCAAAAGAATACTTTTTTAAGAGAGATTGGTTGTCACTTTACGATTTTGGCCACTGGAAACTCCTATCAAGATTTGATAAGGCTTTGTAGATGTCGATGACATTGAGAAGGATCTTTTTCTTTAGCGCATGACATAAATACGAGTAATGATTTAGAGAGTAGATCGACATAGTAGAACTTTAAATAAACAAACGTGTAGACTCTGCGCATGCGGCCACGCAACTGAGCTCCCTGCCTCCCTGTCTCTTATTACACTACACGATCCACAGCGCGGCAGGGAAGCAGGGCGGTCGGAACCACTCGGTCGCCCTGTTTAGGGACCCTGACTCCCTGTTTCTTATTACACTACCCTGTCCCTGCGGGCAGGGCCCGAGAAATCGTGTAATGTAATAAGCCTTTATGGTTAAAGGAAATGATGTTTACAATATTTATACAACTAGGCAAACTATATAATGTCTGCTACATAACTAATTTACTTATAATCGTTTATTATATTTTATAGGTATACCTATGTTATTAAAAACAACCTCAAAATTAATAACATTACATTTGTCTCTGTCGTGAAAAACAATACACAGAATTTAAAAAGCATGTTTAGAATGTAACTCATATCACATATAAGATTTGTGTAGGTGTCACAAGTATACAGTAATATTTAAATAGTTTCAAGAAATAATCTAAGAGTAAAAATAAATGAAATTATGCGTTTACGTATTAAAGCTCTTAATAAATTTTAGTTATGATAAAATTAATTATATACTTACTTTTAAAATAACGGTGGTCCATTCGTTTTGATGAATTAACTCATGTTTTCATAGTAAAGTTTGTTTAAGTAATGTTGCAGTATTCCTATTGCTTTTAGTATTTAATAAAATAATGCAATAAACTTAACTTTTACGAATATTTCACCGTAAGAACAATATAATTTTTTCGTTTGTAAGCGAACTGGAATTCCGGCTTAACACAACATATCATTGCAGTCCAATTACAATCAAACACCAGCGATCAGATTTTTATTCTGATTTCTGATTCTAGTAGGTCTGCTTCTGCATCTGCATTTAATATTTTTGAAGGCTGACAACTGACATTGACATTCAGTGTGACCACTGTTTTTTGCGTTTCTATTAATATATTTAAAATGTACTAAGCATATTTTAAAAATCTACTAAATTCCTACCAGACAGCATAATATCTTTCACATAAAATTTAAGTTACACTATGCAAACATAATTGGTTTATTTATTAATTTACAATTTATATTTTTAGTAATAATAATAATTTTTATTTCAATTAACACAGGGCGAAATGTTGCGACTTTTAATACAGCTCTTTGAGCGCGTTCCAGTGGAAGCAGTGTAGCTTTAGCTGCTCCTCCCCATGAGGTTATACAATAGGTAAGAATTGATAGACATAGTGGGAAATATACTTGCTTTATACCTTAATATCAGCAAAGGAACGAATCTTTTTAAAAACAAACATTAATTTATGGACTCTATTGCACAAGTGTTCTATGTGGTTTTTAAATGTAAATTTTACAACAAATATTTATATATAATATATTTAATACTAAACATCATTAATAATCACTATCACTATTGTTTTATTTACATTTTATATTATTTTTGTTTCATTTTCCATCAGTTGCAACCATCGATCACTAATAAAAAACTAGATACACAATCAGTGACAAAAAATGGCATAACCGAATGTGCACCCACTCGAACATAACGTAATAAAATAAGTCGTCATCGTTCGAGGTATATGCGTTGATTCTGTTCTATTTGTGGAAACGCTGTTGTTTTTTTTATTTATTTTTGTTATAATGTATGATTGTATTTTTTTGTTTAATGAGAGATCTTTACTGAATATAAAATAAGTTAATATACGCGTAAAAATCCGTAAAACTAGTTTCATTTAAATGTGAAGTGAACGCGTAAATATAAGAAATCATTATAATTATTCATTCAGTCTTATCCGTTTTTTAAACACCTGTAAATATGAACATTACGTCAAAATTTGGACAATAATGTTTTTAGATTTTGCAAGAATTTTCTGTACTTATTTTTTATATTTAGTAATTATTATATTTAGATTTAACTTGTTTGTCAAGCAATATCTTTAAATTTTTCACACAAGATAAAGAATAAATAAATAATTATGACTGTTTCAATTATTTTCATTGCTAAATGAATGTGGTGCCCTATACAAAAGCATATTTACATTCAGGTAATAATATAACCATTACACATATACACCATAGAATAGAATAGAATATGCTTTATTAAGTAGACCAATTATTTAAAACAAGTTTAAAAAAATTGTAAAATTATAATTACAGTAACAAAAAATATTGTGCAGTTCGACTCCACTCTCCTAGTCCAAGCGAAGAGCCTCGGTCGTAAAATTTTATTGCTTTTTGTACGTTGCTTTGTGAATACAACTTTAAGCATATCACTTAAGATTGAATTTACATTAATGTATATTTATATAAACTAGAATTACGTCAAAACATTTGGCGACAGTTTTTAGAGAACTTTTGTATGGGATTGTGCATCTAGTTTTTTATTAGTGATCGATGGTTGCAACATATATAAATCAGGTTGAAACTTTGTACAATTTCCTGCTTCTTGCAAACCTTCTTTTCAAATCCAAAAAATCCAATCATGTTTTTATTGTGGTTTGCTGAGTTCTTGTGCTCTTTGATTGACGCAAGTCTGGGCAAAAATTTTGAATTGAAAGCTTTGCAAAATGAACTATAATTGTCTTCAGTAAATTTACACAACCACGTGGTAAATAATGAGTTTTCTTCCCTAATACAAACTGCTGCCAAATAATCGATCACACATCACATCAGTCATAGAAACAAATAAAAAAATATTCAAAGTCATAGAAATAAACAAACAACACAATCTGATTATTAACAGTATAGTAGTTTCAAAGACATATTTATTAAAATTAAACATTATCACTTAAGCAATAAAGTTCATTTTGCTGTACACTGTTGTCATTTGACTAAACTTTTCGGGAAATCCCCGATAAATGTCATGAGTATTGCGATGTTGATAATGTATTGCCATCAAACATCTTCGAAATTTTCAAATTTACTAAGTTCAAGTAAGGCATTTCGACCTATTAAAGCATCATAATTTAAGCTTATAATCTACTAAAAAAGTAGAAATCTACCAAAAGTAGTCAAGTTGTTGAAAGTTTTTTTAGTTTAAGATGTTTATTTTGGATGCTTGTCTTTATTTTATCTCAATATTAAGTTATAATAACACTATATACTGCACTACTTCACAATATATCGATGCGTCAC